AAAAAAAAAAAAAAGTGTAATGTTGGCGTGTTAAATGTTTTGACCCTTTTACTCTGTACTGTGGCCACAGATCTCACAGCTGACAGACAGCCCCAGCTTTGGAGCCACAGTGGTTTGCTCTTAGGAAAGCTTCCCCTGGGCTGTTCCTAGTCAGTGACTGAGCTTAGTGGGGATGTGAGTTTAAGTCCACACTTACAGAATAGCTCCAGGCAGCTCTGCTCAAGGGCTCTCCGATGCCCAGCTAGACTTTCTCAGAAGGGCACTGTAGCCTGGGCTCTTCCTAACACCTTATCCCCCTCCCTTCTCGAGGTCAGGCTCACATTGCAGTCTGGGTTCTTCCTGTCTGTCCTTGCTCCTCTTTGTCCCTTTCAGGCCCCATCCACCTCTTGCACTTTGATCCCATCTCGATGTCCACTTCTCAAAGGACCTGAACAGACACAAGAGAACTGAGCACTGTAGGAGCTATATGTTTCCAAGGAATGCCCTCTCTGTATCCTGTCAAAGGGCTGTACACCCTGCTTACTGCCACATGGTATACTCTGGCTGGTGGAATGGAAGAGGGTGGCACAGCAGTTCTGAGCAATGTCAAGGATTCCTGCGCATTTCCTCTAGCTTTCTATTCCTGGCCTTACGTCATGGGAAAATGTGTCCCAAATAAGGGCTGCTCCTTCAGCCCAGATCCTGGAGGGTGACATTTGGGTCAGGAGTAGGGCTACAACCAACACAGATGTGAGTGACACTAAACCTCTTTTACTGTAAGCCACTGAGACAGCAGTCTTGTTGCTGCAGCAAACATAATCCATCCTACTCAACAAAGAACAGCATATACAATGGTGGTCCCACAAGGTTACAGTGCAGCATATCCAGAAAGCTGATGTATGGTACCTGATATTGGCATTGCAGATCAGCAAGGGACATGACTGATATTCAGTAATTATTTGTGGACGTTTGGCTTTATATGTACCATCTAGGTTGTGTGAGGACACTCTGATATTCATGCAACAATGAAACCACCTATTAACAGATTTCTCAGAACGTATCCCCCTTGTTAAGTGATGTATAACCATATAAATCAATCAAAATGCCCAGGTTATCCCCAAAAAACTTCATAGTGATTTATTTCATATGAACTCTAAAAGTGCTCTTAAGTGTCTGATAATATTAACTTACCTTTAATTCCTCTTGTAATGCAGTATACATTACATTTATCTTATGTACCTCCTTTAAAGATCCATCTTCTTCAAAAAATTCAGAGCTGTAAAAAATTACCATTTCCTCAGGCAAATGTACACAACTCATTTTAAGGATAAGTTGAAAAACACATGTGCCATCAGGGAGCAACAGAATGTTCTTTTTACTGGTCTTGTAGGGACCATAATTTTGTCATATCCTACATATATACAGCAAAACCAACCAGAAAACTGATCACATCAATCTTTAGCAAACTTTTTAGTCTCCTAAGTACTCCTGCCAGATGTCAAAAAAAATTTTTTTTTTAAATTAGTAAGATAAAAATTGAAGGCAGGAAGGGAGAAAGGTCTCTTTTGGTAATGGGGACAGGAGTCAATCTTTACAGTATTTTACTGAATCTAAGTCACTATCAATTGAAAAAGGCACCATTATTTTATGATCCATGAAGAAAAAAAAGGCTAAGATGACATATTTGTAAAACATTGCAATTCTAGAGGTAAGTGTGAAAAATGTGCATCTCAGAATCAGTGAGCTACGGTATTCAATTCCAACACTGCTAAGTCTGTAGGAACACAAAAATTAAGAGCCCAGCCCGTTCTCCTTGAAGTTTAAACTCCAGTAGGTACCCTACAGCACCAGGGTGCTAGTTTTGACATTACTCCTTTACTGGCCACAAAAAAATATATAAGCAACTACAATGTGAATCTTGGCTAAAGTCTGACTTGTCTCTTTCATATGCAGTCTAAGTTCATCTGGACTACTGCCTTCGATGACTCTAACTCTGAGTTAGCTACTGATTCTACCTATGATGAAGACATGCATTCCCTCCTCCCACCACCATTTGGCATCTTGTTGTAGATAAGTGCTAACAGGAAACTCAGAGAAGGTCAAGACAGACTGCCCGGTTAAGGCATTCATTAGCCAATTTTTCTTTTCATTTTTATTCTGTGTCATAAGAAAATTAATGTCAACGAGTGAACAGAACTTATGAAGGAAGACAGCTGAAGACTCGTACCTGTGTGTCTTTACTGCTCGGCTGAAACCAGTGGACGTACAGGAAGCTGATACGGTTTTGTAGCCCAACTGTTCAGACATGCCCAGATTGGCAACCACTAAAGGTACCCTATTAAAAAGTCTGACAAAAATAAGACTTTTAAGTATAAATTTAGAATAAAGAGAAAGATTAGCATCTACTTTTCTCCTACAAGATTAAGAAAAAATTTTTTTAAAAAATTCCTTACTTACCTGAGCTAGAATTTACTGACTTGAGGCACCTACCTGACTTTAAAAGTTGTGAAATGTGCATGGTGAAATTGTATGAAAACCTATTTTAATGGCTACTTTAGCTGATTAGTACATGTATAAACGAGGCAGTTTTTTGGGGTTTTTTTTGAGACGGGTTCACTCTGTCACCCAGGTTAAAGTGCAATGGCATGATCACAGTTCATTGCAGCCTCGAACTCCTGGACTCAAGCAATCCTACTGTTTATGTCTCCTGAGTAGCTGGGACTACAGTCATGCACCACTGTTTCCAGCAAATTTTCCTGTTTTTTGTAGAGACAGGGTCTTGCTTTGTTGCCCAGGTTGGTCTTGAACTCCTGGCCTCAAGCAATTCTCTTGCCTCAGCCTCTCAAAGTGTTGGGATTACAGGTATGAGCCACTGTGCCTAGCAATAAGGCATTACTAACGTTGAGATTATACTATCTTCCATGAACAATAAAATTAATCTCAATTAGTACTCTTAGCTTCATTCTTACAGTCCATGAAAATGTAGTTTATACAATCTGTTGGGAGTCCCTCTTAGATTCATTTTGATGGACCACCAAGAACTGCCTTGTTTCTTTGCAGAGGTTACAGAAAAGCTCCCAAGTACCTAGGTTTATATTCTAAATTATATCATTTATCAATCAATATCAAAAACAAAAATTTTTTCCTCTTAAATAGTAAACAGCTGGGCGTGGTGGCTCACACCTATAATCCCAGCATTTTGGGAGGCCAGAGTGAGAGGATTACTTAAGCCCATGGGTTCGAGACCAGCCTGGGCAACTTGATGAGACCTCATCTCACAATAAATAAAAAAATTAGCCAGGCGTTGTGGCTTGTGCCTGTAGTTTCAGCTACTTGGAGGGCTGAGGCAGAAGGATCACCTGAGCCCAACAGATCGAGACTGCAGTGGCCATGGGCATGCCCTGTGAGTGAGACTCCAACTCAAAAAAAAAAAAAAAAAAGTAAATAAATCTTCAGTGCCAGAATACAAGTCATCATTCCATACTGGACTTCTAATTTTCCTAACTGACCTTTGGTTTCCTAGCTGTAATGAACAGGTGGTAAGAGCTACTTCAGAGCTATTTTGACAACCTAATGCAACAATATATAAAAACATCTGGTAAGCTGCAAAGAGTACTAAATATTAGGTGTATTTTTCTGTTAGTTTAGAGAGCCTGTGACTGGCCAACATTTACCCTTTTTGAGGTTTATATAAGGCATGTTCCAGTCGATGAGTGGAGCAGCTTTCTGTTATTATACTTGGTGTTAACAGCAGAAAAACAAGGTCTTGGCTTGGAAAATACTCCTGTAAGTTCTTGTGAAGCAGCCTCTCTCTAAACGTCATGATCTGATCTGAATGGCGACGAAATTTGTACCAACCTATCACATTCTGAAATACAGAAAAAATTAGATGTGTATCTTCATAGTTATAATTATATGTTTTACTATTATAATTAAGCAATACAACTATAACCTTAAAATGGCTTTCTTAATATTTAGAAAGATTTGGGGCCTATATAAACAAATACACTTAGTCATACGCTTTATTTTTATAAAGTATGCAAACTGACTTACAGTTAATTACTTTCCATTCATTTAAAAGGCTACAGTTTTGATCAACATGAATTAAAGGGAGAAAAAAAATTCTTGACTCCCTCTAGTTTCTTTTATAGCATTTGCTATCTTGCAATCTTAATCTTTAGTCAAAACTTAAAAAATTTTAGCCAGGCACAGTGGCTCACGCCTATAATCCCAGCACTTTAGGAGGCCTAGGCGAGAGGACTGCTTGAGCCCAGGAGTTTGAGACCAGCCTAGACAACACAGAGAGATCCCCATTTCTACAAAAAACAATAAAAAATTAGCCAGCTGTGGTGGCATATGTCTTTAGTCTCAGCTACTTGGCAGGCTAAGGCAGGATGATTGCCTGAGACCAGGAGTTGGAGGTTGCATGGTGAGCCGTGATCATGCCACTGCACTTCAGCCTGGACAACAGAGTGAGACTCTGACTCAAAAAAAAAAAAAAAAAAAAAAGCCATTGATTCACTCAATAACCAATCACTCCCTGAAAACAAGTTAATTTCCTGTATGGACACTTAGTTGGTTAATTAAGTTAAGCTGAATCTTGCAGCTTTTACCCAAAATGTAAATAAGAATGATTATCACCTATCCAACAAAGTTGGTTTCAAGATTAGATCACCTGAGAAGGTTGTGTAAATGGTAACATGCTAAACAAACGTGTTGTTAGTAATTATTACTAACCTTTTTTCTAAGTCAGAAAATTCTAATTTACTTAAAACTCAGTAATTATAACAAAGAGAAAAACAACCACTTTGCTTATAGAGCTGTGAGTTTCAGCAACTAAATTTCATACTTGCACATTTATATTGAGGAGATTAAAATTACTTTTTACTTGTTTTAAGAGTTTTTTAAAAAAATGTTTTGTAGAGATAGGGGTCTCACTATGTTGTCCAGGCTGGTCTTGAACCCCTGGGTTCAAGCGATCCTTCTGCCTCAGGCTCCCAAAGTACTGGGATTACAGGTGTGAGCCACTGTGCCCAGCTTAAGATTACTTCTGTTCTTTTAAAAAATAAAACATTTTTACAGGTACGTTTTTAAATACCCAAGTATAATTGAGGGGAAAACCCCAAACATTTTCAATCAAGGATGTTTTTTGAAACAAACTACTTTTACTGAATCTATTTTTATATTCAAACAAGAGATTTAAAAGTTTTAAGAGGAAAAAGTGATACCAGGCATGGTAGTTCTTATCTGTAATCCCAGCACTTTGGGAGGCTGAGGCAGGAGGATGACTGCTGGAGACCAGGAGCTTGAGATCAGCTTAGGCAACATAGAGACCTCACCTCTACAAAAATAATTTAAAAATTAGCCAGGCATGGTAGCATGTAGTCCCAGCTACTTGGGAGGCTGAGGTGGATAACCTGAGCCCAGGAGGTTGAGGCTGAAATGAGATGTGATTATGCCATTGCACTTTAGCCTAGGCAATTCAAAAAAAAGGAAAAAGAAAAAGTTATGCCTTGAACAAATGTGGGTAAAGAATTCATTTTGATCATTCAACAACTTTTAACACCAAGTATGTTCTGGAGGATTAAAATTCAGTGCTATATAGGAAATCATCCCTACAGTATAAAAAACAGTAACTGCAGCTAAGTAAAATAACACTAATAGGTTAAGTCCTAGTATAAATGGCACTGAGAAGGGTGTGGTGAAAACACAGAAGAGAAGGGTAGTGATGTTAGAGTTGTCATGGGAAGGATGAGATCAAGACTAACACTTGTAATCCCTAGCTTGGTTTTTAGAGCAACCTTATTGAATTCTGGGAAGAACTAAATTTTCTGGCCTGATTTATAGGATGCCAGGAAGACAAATACTTTTCAGGTTTTGCAGAGCACTGCATGCTTTTAGGAACAGAAAACAATACATTCAATCCCCAAAACGGACTGGTGAATTGGAGAGTACCTGTCTGCCACTTGGTAACATCTTCTTCAGGGCTTGCTTGTTTACTTCACCTAAAGAATTGTAGAAGCTGTAAAAGTCAAAATTAAAGACATTTCAAGTAAGCTAAAAATATGAATATTCTATTATCATTTTAAATTGTAGTTAATCCTAACCCAAACTACCCAACCAAAGTCCACATGTCTACTTTCCTGTCAGCTGAAGTCCTAAAACAAACAGTAGAGAAAGTTATCAAATTAACAGACTTAAAGTGATAGAAACATGAAGTCCAAAAGCAATGAAAAGGAAAAAAATAGGAGAAACTTCAAGAGATAAGTTTGGCATCACATTTTTAACCTAAAACAAAACAATAAACTATCCATTAAACACAAGGATTAGAAAGTAAGCTCATATAGCCGATTCACAGTTCATTTAGTTTACTTACTAAAAAGTTTTTCAATACTGAAACATAAAAAAGAATGCACTGTGAGTAATGAGACCAATAACATAGACAATTTATTCACTGCTCATCAAGAAGCTGTGTGCTTAGCCAGTCTTGGTGGTTCAGCCTGTAATCCCGCGCCTTTGGGAGGCTGAGGTGAGTGGATTGCCTGAGCCCGCGGGTTTGAAACCCACCTGGGCAACTTGGCGAGACCTCATCTCTACAATAAATCAAAGAATTGGCCGGGCGTGGTAGCGCGCCTGTAGTTCCAGCTACTTGGAAGGCTGAGGCGGAAGGATCGCCGGAGCCCAGCAAGTTGAAGCTGCGGTGACTGGGAGTGGCCACTGCACTCCGACTCCAACTCAAAAAAAAAAAGCTGTGTGCTTTCGGGAGTGGCTGGGTTGTCTGGGGTGTGGGGGAACAGGTTTTCATTTACTTTATCGTCTTTGTTATAGATTTGGAATGTCCAGGGTGTAAGGAGAATCAGAAGATAATTCTGAAAGACTGTAGAGCATTTCTTTCCCTTCCAATAACAGAGACTGTAAATAATATTTTCTCCTTTTTTATCATTTATTAAGATCAACAACATTCTTTTCTATGATGGTGAAGTATATCATGCAAAAATCCTTTATAATTTTCACTGTAATAGTTTTTTATTCCAAATCTTACTGTCATCCAGGCTGGAGTGCAATGGCATGCCCATGGCCACTGCAGCCTCAACCTGCTGGGCTCAGGTGATCCTTCTGCCTCAGCCTTCCAAATAACTGAAACTACAGGCACACGCCAGCATGCCTAGCTAATCTTTTATTGTAGAGATGAGGTCTCATCAAGTTGCCCAGGCTGGTCTCGAATCCTTGGGCTCAGGCAATCCTCTTGCCTCTGCCTCCCAAAGTGCTGGGATTACAAGTGTGAGCTACTGCACCCAGCATGTAATAGCTTATTTTTAATTCTAAACTTCACACTGAAAAAATTTAGTTTCATAAAATGAAAAATATCCTATTAAGGCAGTATCTTTTTTCCTTTTGAACTTGCAAGGACTTACATTAAATTTTTTCCGTTAAAAAGATTTTAATGGGAAAACAAAAAATAAAATGTTCCACCTATGGTATGGAGCTAGTAAACCGATCCAACAGATATCCCTGTTGTATGTATTTATAGTTCCAACATTAAACACAAGAACTTACTCCTGCACTTCTCTGACTTGGTCTGCTCTGAGCTTCTCAAATTGGGGCATGAGGCATCATGCCTGGTAAGGAGTGCTACAGGGTAACAGTGTGCATCTCCTGCAGAAGCACTGCAGGTGAAAGTTTTGGGGAGAGAAAGGTGGGGATGGAATTTTATATGGAAATAGGTCCATTATTCGAATTAATGTTAAACTGCAGAATTTGTTTAAGTGATGTAAAGTCTTAGGTCTCCGTGAGCTATTTCTCTGGTACCTCCCAGACCCCCGAGGTAAGCAAATCAGTGTATTCAGTGGAAAAGAATGAGAAGCAACGTGCCTAGGGCTAGGCTGGCAAATTTCTTCTGAAAAGGACCAGACAGAAAATATTTTAAGCTCTGTCAGCAAATCCAAGCTCCACTGCATATTCTTCTGCTTCTATTTTTTTTTTATAACCCTTGAAAACTGTTGTAGACATGCGTATCTTGGCCATTTGAACCTGGGTCATGGGTATAACACTGGGTCCTAAGACTTTTCCAGCTCAGACCCTGAGAAGTGTACATCTGAAGATGCTGCTTTAACATGGTCACCTGTGTTGTTTACAACAGGGAAGAAACAGCACAGCTGGATTAGAAGTCATTGAGTCTTCCTCCTTTTGGTTTCTGCCCCACCATCAACCAGTTCTGTGGCCTCAGTTAAATCATGTACTTTTCAGGCCCATCACTTTGTTGTTAAATGAAAATGAAGGCTGGGCGCAGTGGCTCATACCTATAATACCAGCACTTTGGGAGGTTGAGGTAAGAGGATTGCCTGAGCCCACAGGTTTGAGACTAGCCTGGGCAAGTTGGTGAGACCTCATCTCTACAATAAATCAAAAAATTAGCCGGGTGTGGTGGCATGTGCCTATAGTTACAGCTACTTGGAAGGCTGAGGCGGAAGGATCACCTGAGCACAGCAGGTTGAGGCTGTGGTGGCCATGAGAGTGCCACTGCAGTCCAGCCTCGGCGACACAGTGAGACTCCGACTAAAAAAAAAAAAAAAAAAAAAAAAAAAAGAAGAAAGAAAATGAAGTGTGTAGCAGCTTCTGAGTGGGAGGCATTTCCACACACCAACCCCTCCCCCACCCCCATCATGAAAGCACATGAAAGCTCAGTCTGGGCCTCTGGGCCTCTCCTCACTAGAATGGATAGGTTCTTCAGCTCAGCCTCTATTAAGTGGGTCTACTTATTAATGCAGGTGAGACAGTACTGGCTCACTTTTCACTCTCCCTCATCATCCTGTGCTGGTCCAGAGGGTCCTACAAAAAGTCCTTGTTCTGAGTCTCCAGGAAGAATTCCCCAGTCATTTGGCACGTATTTCCTCTTATGCGCAAGGTCCTCTAGGAGCTGGGCCTTTCCCTAGAACAGTAGTTTAAAACCACATATCTCCTGCCACAGTTCATCCTCACCTGAACCATGTGCTCCACTTCAATTCCTACAAAGCTAAAGATGTGTACAGCACAGACAGTGACTGTCAGAGAGTGATGCGAGTTTCTCACGTGATTTATATAAATCATAAAGCAATTTCACTAAAACGACACCATTCTAAGGTGATGATTACATGTGTTTGCTTTGTGAAAATTCATTCATTCGTGTACTCTTTTATGTGTGTTATATCTCAATAAAAAGTTTTAAAAAAATACACAGCGTATTAAGCCAACCATACCACTACTATCTGCAGGACTAAGAGTACAAGCTTCCACTCTAGTAAAGCAACAGGAAATAGGTTAAGGAGCATAACTAGTTAACAGACAAAAGACAACACAAGAAAATGTAAGTGAGACAACAGCTGCTAAAATAAGCTAGAATAGCCGGGCTCGGTGGCTCAGCCTGTAATCCTGCGCCTTTGGGAGGCTGAGGTGAGTGGATTGCCTGAGCCCGTGGGTTCGAGACCCGCCTGGGCAGCGAGACCTCATCTCTACAATAAATCAAAAAATCAGCCAGGCGTGGTAGCGCATGCCTGTAATTCTGGCTACTCGGAAGGCTGAGGCGGAAGGATCGCCGGAGCCTAGCATGCAAGGCTGCGGTGGCTGGGAGCGGCCACTGCACTCCAGTCTGGGCGACCGAGTGAGACTCCAACTCAAAAAAATAAATAAAAAATAAATAAATAAATAAAATAAAATAAAACAAAATAAGCTAGAATAAAAGTGTAGAAAAAAGGGCAGCTGCTGCTGCTGTGTGAGGCCACGGCATTTGCTGGGTTATGACTGGCTGTGAGGGGAAACACGGTCCTCAAAGCGAGTGGCACCTGGGAGGGAAGTGGGACCAGCTAACATGACGTACACACAGGGGAAGAACTGTCAGGGCTGACTGTGCATAAGTGACTTTTCAGGCATTAACAAAACTTTCCATTTTAATCAGTGCCGCCATTCATAACTGATAACTAGGATACCTGGTTTCCAAGTATTTTTTGGTCAAGCACAGTGGCTCATGTCTCTTATTACAGCAATTTGGGAGGTGGGAGGATCATTTAAAGCCAGGATTCAAGACCAGCCTGGATAACACAGCAAGACTCCATTTCTACAAATTAGCAAGGTGTGAGCTGGGCATGGTGGCTCACGCCTGTAATCTCAATACTTTGGGAGATGGAGGCAAGAGGATTGCCTGAGCCCAGGGGTTCGAGACCAGCCTGGGCAACTTGGCGAGACCTCATCTCTACAATAAATCAAAAAAATTAGCCGGGTGTGGTGTGGCATGAGCCTGTGGTTCCAGCAACTTGGAAGGCTGAGGCAGAAGGATCGCCTGAGCCTGGCAGGTCAAGGCTGAGGGTCATGCGCATGTCACTGCACTCCAGCCTGGGCAAAAGAGTGAGACGCTAACTAAAAAAAAAAATTAGCCAAGTGTGGTAGTGTGCACCTGTAGTCACAGCTACTGGGGAGGCTGAGGCAGGAGGATCCCTTGAGCCCAGGAGTCTAAGGTTACAGTGAGCTATGATCAGGCTACTGTATTCCAGCCTGGGTAACAGAGTAAGACCCCGTCTCTATTAATGAAATAAAATAAAACTTATTTCATTTGCAGAGAGTAATTTCACAACAGATTATTTACTTGCTCTTACACTAATACTACTACTCACCTAAAAAGCTGATAGCATGGAATATATTTCTGAATGTCTGAAAAAAAGGATTTTTTTGTTATGGTTACATTAATTAACTGAATAATCATTTGAACAGCACACTGAGCATCTACCTCAGGCCCTGATTTAATCCTCACAACCAACCTATGAGGTGGACACTATCACTCTTCCCTTTCAAGATGTTGTAACAGGCAGAGAAAGATTATGTGGCTTGCCCATGCCCATGTGAGGGCCACAGTTCAAACCCAGGGCCTCGCATAGACCCACAAGGTTACAGACCCTCTCACGATGGCTTAATCACTGTAACACAAAGGACAAAGTCAAGACTGCTATATTTTCATGGAGCTCTCAAATGGTTATGCTCTAAATTTACCCAAATGATGCCAGGTGTGGTGGCTCAACCCTGTAATCCCAGCATTTTGGGAGGCAGAGGCAAGAGGATTGCCTGAGCTCAGGGGTTCGAGACCAGCCTGAATAGCATGGCAAAACCTCGTCTCTACAACAATAAATCAAAATAATTAGCCGGGCGTGGTGGCACAAGCCTGTGGTTCTAGCTACTTGGAAGGCTGACGCGGAAGGATCACCTGGTCCCAGTAGGTCAAGGTTGCAGTGGCTGTCTGGGTGACAGAGTGAGACTCCGACTCAAAAATAAATAAATAAATTTACCCAAATGATAAAAACAGTCATTCAAGAGATTATCTTTTGTTTTTCAAAGAACAATCATGTGCCTGGTGAATTACGGGCCACAAACAGGGTGAGGATCCCCTAAGATTATCATGGAGTTGCCCTGTACAGGCAAACCACCTCTTATCTGTGACACTATGCCTTTACTGTACCCTTCTATGTTTACATACACAAGTACTTACCATTGGGTTGTAATTGCCTACAGTATTCAGCACAGTCACAACAGGAACAGCAGGTGACACCATGGTGGGGGGCGACAGGGGGGTAGGTTCTACAGAACCTCTGGGTTTGTGTAAGTCCACGTAATGTTCACACAACAGCCAAACTGCCTAACCACGTGTTTCTCAGCACATATCCCTGTGGTTAAACAACACACGTTGACTATAGGTGTCTCATGAAGGATGTGTTAGTGTTGACTATAGACTAAAGAAAACAAAAAACTGCAGCATCTTTTAAGAGATGACTTTTCCTGTCGATAGCATTATCATCCCGCGCCTTTGGGAGACTGAGGTGAGTGGATTGCCGCAGGTTCGAGACCCGTCTGGGCAGTGACACCTCATCTCTACAATAAATCAAAAAATCAGCCGGGCGTGGTAGCGCATGCCTGTAATTCTGGCTACTCAGAAGGCGGAGGTGGAAGGATCGCTGGAGCCCAGCAGGTCGAGGCTGCGGTGGCCGGGAGCGGCCACTGCACTCCAGTCTGGGCAACAGAGTGAGACTCCAACTCACAAAAAAAAAAAAAAACAAAAAAAACAAAACTGCAATATCACCGCTAAATAGAAAAAGTGGAGGCCGGGCTCGGTGGCTCAGCCTGTAATCCTAGCACTTTGGGAGGCCGAGGTGAGTGGATTGCCTGAGCCTGTGGGTTCGAGACCCACCTGGGCAACTTGATGAGACCTCATCTCTACAACAAATAAAAAAATTAGCCGGGCGTGGTAGCACGCACCTGTAGTTCCATCTACTTGGAAGGCTGAGGCGGAAGGATCGCCGGAGCCCAGCAGGTCAAGGCTGCGGTGGCCAGGAGCGGCCACTGCACTCCAGTCTGGGAGTCAGAGTAAGACTCCAACTCAAAAAAAAAAAAAAAAAAGAAAAAAGAAAAAGTGATTATTCTCTTTAGACTTTTTTTCTGGCAAATGTATCCCTTCAATAAATCTGTCAGAAAAACTAAACAGAAATTGTCCATATCTGGTAATTGGTGAAATGTTCTCTAGTGTGCAGACAAGAACAAGTGTAACTGTGATGACAATCTCCTTGACCTAAGCAATGTAGTTATCTGTAATTTTGAATTTTACTTGCTAACCATCTATGATAAAGTAGCCCTATATTTAAAATAATTTGAGCAAATACCTTAGAGGCTTAGCACTATGCCTAGCAGTATTGCTTAGTCAATGCTGTTTAATTAAATCAAACTCCTCAAAATATTAGATACCTTGGGTGGCATGCTAATTTAAATTAGGAAAAAATGTTCTGAGGATTTTTAAAACTCAAGTATCTGAACAGAAAAATGTTAAAGTAAAATTACAAACTATGGCCGAGCTCAGTGGCTCAGCCTGTAATCCCCTGCCTTTGGGAGGCTGAGGTGAGTGGATTACCTGAGCCCGCAGGTTTGAGACCCGCCTGGGCAGCGAGACCTCATCTCTACAATAAATAAAAAAATCAGCCGGGCGTGGTAGCGCACGCCTGTAATTCCGGCTACTCGGAAGGCTGAGGTGGAATGATCGCCGGAGCCCAGCAGGTGGAGGCTGCGGTGGCCAGGAGCGGCCACTGCACTCCAGTCTGGGCAACAGAGTGAGACTCCAACTCAAAAAAAAAAAAAAAATTACAAACTACAAAAACATATGACAAAAGACCAGTGTCCTTAAGTGATGTCATTGCAAATCAACAAAAATAAAATAGTTTAGTAGAAATGCAATCAAAGGGGCAACCTCCTTGGGTCTCCTCCTGCTCTGGGAGCTTTTCAGTCCTCTCAAAAAATCCTGCTTTCTAGAAGAAAAAAAAAAGAAAGAAAGGCAGTCAAAGAACAGAACAGAGCCAGGTGTGGTGGCTCATGCCTGTAATTCCAGCCCTTAAGGAGCTAGAGGCAGGAGAATTGCTTGAGCCGAGGAGTTTGAGACCAGCCTGGGTAACACAGCAGGACCTCATCTCTATAAAAAAAAAATCAAAAAATTATCTGGACGTGGTGGTGCGTGCCTGTAGCTCCAGCTACTTAGGAGGCTGAGGCAGAAGGATCGCCTGAGCCCAGCAGGTTGAGGCTGTGGTAGCCATCAGTGTGCCACTGCAATTGAGACTGGGCAACAGATTGAGACTCCAACTCAAAAAAAAAAAAAAAAAAAAGAAAGAAAGAAAGAAAGAAATAGGTCTGCTTTTTCAAAGAAAAAGGTATGAAGAAATACTTAACCTCTTTGGTAATAAAGAAATACAAATTAAAATGCTATTTTTAGGCTGAGCACAGTGGCTCACACCTGTAATACCGGAACTTTGGGAGGCCAAGGGGTAGGATTGCTTAAGCCCGGAGTTTGAAACCAATCTGGGCAACATAGTAAAATTTCGTCTTTACACAAAACAAAAAAACTAGCTGGGTGTGGGATCAAGCCACTGTACTTGAGCCTGGGCAACAAAGGGAAACCATGTTTCAAAAAAAAAAAAAAGCTGTTTTTTTTTCACTTATCAAATTGGCAAAGAATGACAGATTTGGTAATGCCTACTGTGAGGGGAACATGAAGGCCTGGGCACTTTTATACACCATGAAGTAGCCTCAAGTGGCATCACTTTTCCAAGAGGCATTCAAGCTAGTCCACCTCTAGGAATCTGACCTTCAGGTCTACACTCGGACAAAGGCAGAAAGACATATGTACAGTACTAAATAAAATGTTCATTGTAGTACTGTTTATATTAACAAAAAAAACCAAAGTTATTCTTACCTAGTTAGACAAGTTATGATAAATGGGACATGCGGCCATTAGAAAGAATGACGAAAAAATACCCGTGAAGCTAACAGTGGTTGCCACTGTGGACACTAATGAGAGGTTAAATGTTTTATTATTTTTATTTATTTATTGAGTTGGAGTCTCACTCTGTCGCCCAGGCTGGAGTGCAGTGGCACACTCACGGCCACCGCAGCCTCGACCTGCTGGGCTCAGGTGATCCTTCCGCCTCAGCCTTCCAAGTAGCTGCAGCCACAGGCATGTGCCACCACGTCTGGCTAATTTTTTGATTTACTGTAGAGACAAGGTCTCACCAAGTTGCCCAGGCTGGTTTGAACCCCTGGACTCAAGCAATCCTCTCGCCTCAGCCTCCCAAAGTGCTGGGATTACATGCATCAGCCATAGTGCCCAGAAGTTAAATGTTTTATTCTCTGCCTTATATACTCCTATTTTTAACCCTTTAAAGTGGCAAACAAAAATAATATACGGGATGAGTATAAACTGATATAAACTTTCAGGAAAGCAATTTGCGAATGCAGATTAAAAATCTCTTAAATGTTCATACCTGTTACACACTAATACCATATCTAGGAATCTATAATAAAGCCAAATGTTGATGTACAAGGATGTGTACTGTAGTTTAATTTAGGATAATAAAAAACTGGAAGCCGGGCTCAGTAGCTCAGTCTGTAATCCCGTGCCTTGGGAGGCTGAGGTGAGTGAATTGCCTGAGCCCGCGGGTTCAAGACCCACCTGGGCAACTTGGCGAGACTTCATCTCTACAATAAATCAAAAATCAGCCGGGCATGGTAGCGCACGCCTGTAGTTCCAGCTACTTGGAAGGCTGAGGCGGAAAGATTGCCGGAGCCCAGCAGGTCGAGGCTGCAATGGCCGGGTGCGGCCACTGAACTCCAGTCTGGGTGACAGAATGAGACTCCAACTCAAAAAACCGCCAGAAAACTGGAAACAGCTAACTATAATTTATTTAAAGGACTGCTTAAATCACAGTAAGACCACAGAGTGGAATACAATGCTGCTATGAAAAATGATGCCAGGCACGGTGGCTCACGCCTGTAATCCCAGCACTTTGGGAGGCTGAGGTGAGAAGGCTGCCTGAACCCAGGGGTTTGAGACCAGCCTGGGCAACTTGGTGAGAGCTTGTCTCTAAAAAAAAAAAAAAAACAGGCATAGTGTCTCATGCCTGTGGCTCCGGCTACTTGGAAGGCTGAGGTGGAAGGATCCGAGGCTGGTCGAGGCTGTGGTGGCCCATGAGTGTGCCACTGCACTCCAGCCTGGGCAACAAAGTAAGACTCCGACTCAGAAAAAAGAAAAAATATATTGTAGAGGATTAATATGGGAAAATGGTCATAATATAATAGGTCATGATGCCAAACCCCCTATACCTCTAGAAGCCCCCTTTTTCCTGGAGGAACAGCCACTACCAGCTGTACCTGCTTTGGCACCCCCCTCCCCAAGTACTTTGCAGCCAGTCCTTCCCCCTCTACACTCAAGATTGTCCATGATCTAGTCATCCCAGCACTGAGTTTTTCCAGTTGTCACCTGCCAGCTCTTCTCAGCATTCACCAAGTTACCTTTCTCCTCGCCTTCCACCCGCTGGGCCATCTTCCTGCCCCTGAGCAGCAGGGCTCCAGCCTTGCTTCCCTGCAGTCATCCTAAGTCTCAAACATTCTTGCTTTAGACAACCTCGTAGCTATAATCTTAGCTGAGAAATGAGTGCAATATATTCTTCTAAATTCTGCTTGTGGTATCGATATACTTTTTAGAAACAATTTAAAAGCAATAATTTATGCCAATCCCTTTCAGCATAAACTATCAAAAACAGACTCAGAAATAAGTGACTCACCAATTGTATAGACGACTTCCACATCATCCATTTGGGAGTCAGTGATGCTGTTCTTGGCTTCACCTTTCACCTCCCCAAGAAGAAAACCTTCCTGCGAGCATAAAAGTAAGAGGTGACAAGTGACGTACACAGATCAGTTGCTGCTCAGTCACCTCACTAACTGATGGTTTCTGAGCTCTTCACAAGGTGGACAAGAGTGTGCTGCTGCCTGAGGACACATCAAAGACCCGAGGTACTTCCAGCTGACTTGGGAGATGAGAAGACACTCTAAGTACCACTGTAATTTAGGAAAGGGCAGACATGAACACACCTGAAGCAGATGGAGAAGGTCCCGAGGAGGCGAGAACTGAGCTGCCCATGAAGGGCTGGCAGGACTTGTGCAGGTGGAGCTTTGAGCACTCCACATTTGGGAAGCACTCGCAGGGATCCTCAAACTTTTAAAACAGGGGGCCAGTTCACTGTCCCTGAGACCGGTGGAGGAGCGGACTATAGTTTAAAAAAAAATAAAAGGAATTTGGTCATAGTTTTTATTTTTAAACTATAGTCCGCCCCTCC